GGACTTTTTTAATTAATTGAAACGTTAAGAGTTGATTTATTTAATTTCATTTATAACAAATATTTCTTCATCATAACATTATGTTAAACAAAAAAGATGAAAAAAAAATGAATTAACAAATTTGTTAACATTTAACAACATTATCAACACTATCACTAGATTTAGTAAGTTCTAATTCTATTTCTTGAAGCTCAGGTTCTATATGTTCTTGTATTCTTTCTGAATTATTTCGTTCTCCTAAAAACATTGTTCTTTTTCTATTTGTACGAGGAGTAACACAGCTATAAGAAAGAGACCTTTCTTTCCTTGCTTCAGATGGTAATGATTCAGCACGAGATTTTTCATTAGATTTATCAGCAACTAAAGGGGGTGTACTTAATTCTGAACGAGTTCTAGACATTTCTTGATTTAGTTTTGTGAATTGAGAATGATTAAGACGAGTAGTTAATCTGGCGTTACCTATATTGAATTTGCTTGGTCTTGCAACTCCTTGTAATTGTAACTGAGCACTTTTTCTTTGGAATTGTTCTTTATGGAGTCTGTCATTGTTGAAAGATAAAGGACTATCAGTTTTTCTTCCATTTAGTGCTTGGTTATGAAATTCAAGAATAGAAGAAGGATCTATGTCAAAGGATGATTTTTGTTTTCTAGATCGGAATAACTCTTTAACTTCAACTTTAGATTCTAAAGAATGACACGAGTCTTCTTTGTCGAAATGTTGCCTTAAGAATTTAACTATTGCTTGTTGAAGTTGTTCGTTATAAAGAGTATTTTCATTTGATACAACTGAAGGATAATTAGGGATTGGAGGAAGTTGCTCTCCTTTTTTATTTAAATCATCACAAATATAATCATATTGTTCAAGCATGATATCAATAAGATCTTTAATAACTGATTGATAACTGAAATCAGCACTATTGTAAATGATACATGGACCAAAAGTATTAGCAATTTGTGAAATAGTTGATTCATTAAAGTCATTATTTGAATAAATATTATGAAGATGTCTAAGAACAAAATATAAAGTATATTGTTCATCATCATTAGATAATGAAATAATCTTTTTAATGTTATTTACTTTATTGACTAAGTCTTCTGTTGCTAATCCTTTTTTCATGTCAAAATAATAAATACCTAATATTGGTTCAGCCAATCGTTTTAAATACATTTTTATAATTTCAAAAGCAAGTTTAGGATAAATAGAATTAGTAGCAATATCATTTCCTGAGTCAAGAATAGAAATATATCGACACAAATCAAGTGGTGCAACTTGTTGTAACATAATTTTCGGAGTAATATAATAATTAGATTCTTCTAAATAAGGTATTAATCTATATAATGGTAATGGAACATACCAGCCACCTTTTTCTATTGCTACATCAATTGAATATCCAAAATATCCTATTGACTGTATCAAAGGAGCTAAAGTAACAGTCCATTTATTAAAATCATCAAGAGAAGAACATTCTAATTGATAATAATCATCTCCAGAAAGTATTTCAAATGTTAAGTCTGGTTTAGTAGGACCAAGTTCTTCAGTAGAAATCATCTATATTGTTATTAAAGTTATTACATAAATGTATTTATAAATCAGATTCATTCAATAAATATTTACTTGATTCTTTAAATAAGAAAAAGAGAAGAATAACAAACTCGCTTCAAAATTGCATTATCAAGAATGATACTTAACTTTTTTTCTTTCAACTATAAAATGAGATACATTGTAAAATTGTTGTATATTAGTTAAAAACAAACATCCTTCTCTTTAAAAAATACTAATTCTACTGGTCTTACAACCATAAATAGTTTTTTATAGCTTTTATATTTGCCACCTCGGATGTCTATCCATCCTTCTGTTTTATGTGTGCTCATTTATAATTGAAGAATATTAGTTCATAATTTTCTCCTTTTTATTATTTCCATAATCAAATCTTGTTGTAATATTAAAAAAGAAACTTCTGCACTCATTCTTTCTATTTTTCCGTTATTTTTGATTATTGATTTATCACCAAAAAAAAATATTAATTAAGTTTTTTGTATATTTTCACAAATCTTATTATTTTGATATACCTCCATTTTATGGTGAAGTTTCTTAAGTCAATCAAAAACAAAGGATACTCACCTTTGGAATTTTCAGTAGGGTTTGTTCAACTATGCAAATATGATTGAAATAAAAATAGAAATAATACATCTATTTATGTGCTGACGTTATTATCAGCATCACCCCTTCATAAATTTAATGAGTTGTGAGCAAAACTCAAATACAAGTTCAACTACAAAAATGAAAGTACTAATTTTCACACCACCTAAATTTGTTATAATATATGAACTGAAACAAAACAAATAGCATTTAATATTATTAATGTGTTGTATTGAATTACAACACTTATTTCTATTAATAGAATTAAAAATCAAATCCTTACATAAACGAAACTTCTAAATTTTTTTTGAACGAAACATTTAATTTCCATGATGGGAAAAAAAATTCACACTTCATACCTATATTATTTCTATGTTATTGTGAAGAAAGACATATCAAATCCTCATATAAATAAAAAACGCAACAGTTGATATTTGTAAAAAGAGTAGGCTATTTTCAAATAGTAAAGAGATGGTATTTGGAAAAAATAAGAACTTATATTCTGTCATTTTTGAATTAGGATGAACATGTAATAAGAAAATTGAGAAAAGTCAATACAAAAGGATAAAATGTAATAAAAGTGATGATTTAGAACATAGTAATTGACTGAATTTGATTTTGGTAATAATGTTATTTTTACTAAGAAAACAAATAGTTCATTTATTGTAATCCTGCTGATTTTTCTAAATAAACAACAATAACATTATTTGCAATATTCAAATAAATAAACAATATCTTACTCACAGATATTTTTCTTTGTTTTTGTATAATAATTATCAGAATATATTTGTTGAGAAGTTTTTAGTAATAGCATCTTCAAATGAGAATTAAGATATAAAAACAACTAGTTAATTGTGTATATAACTTATTTTTAATATAATAAGATTCCCATTGTTATAAGATTTGTAGATAGTATTTTATGTTTTGTATTATATAATATATTTTATAAATAATCATTGTTGTATTTATAATAATAATTTTATTCTCCATCATCGTTGAAATAACGTTTAGTTTCTTTTAATAAGAGAAATAAAAATATAATTACAATGTTTCACAATAATATTAGAAAGATTTGTTGAATAATAGTATTAGAGATAGTTATATAAAGTTTTATATAAATTGAAAAGGATAATGTTGATACTTTACTTTGACTAATATTTTATAATTTATAATATTGGTACTTGATATATTCTTAATTGAAGTAATTGAAACGTAATGTAATAAAGAGACAATTTTTATTACTAAAATACATAAGATTATTATTGATAATAGAAGTAATATTAGATAAATATTTACGACTAAATTAATTATTCTTTTTTTTCATTATTTTTTATTTTGTTCTTGTTCTAAAATACAAGAATAATTAATTTCTATGAAAAAAAGATAATTTTACTGAAGGAATAGTTTTTATTCCCTAACACATAATTAACTATTTGAAGTTTTCATTGTAAAATGGCTTTTTTAATTATTCAGAAGTATAGTCCAATAGTTCTATAAAACTTACCCCTTTAAGACGTTTCTTTTTAAAATTCTATAATCATCTTTGGTTCTTAAACAAGAGAAGTTGTTTTGTATTATTTTTTTGTTTGTTTCTTAGGGGAAGATAAGGGAGTTTTTATTCTTTGGAGAACAACAAAAAATAGATTGAAAATTACTATTTTTAGAAATTATATTTTGTTCAAATAACAAGAGTAAAACAGTTTTCTATTTCTTTTTTAAGTAAAGATACGTTATTTACCATATTTGAATGAGCAGAATCTTAGAAATACATTCAATGATCATTTACTTAATTATTTTTTTCTCTTCTATTGTGTTTGCTGACCAATATACTATGGTAGGAACAAATTCTAATTTCCTTGAGAAAACCAATTGGAATCCTCAACACTCTGGTGACTTTACAACTTCAGATGACTTGGTTCTTCCAATAGAAGGTTTCTTCAGTGTTTCCTCTTTAAGAGTAAATAAAATTATAGTATCTGCTGATATTGATTTGACAGTTGGAGTACTTATAGTGAATGATATTGAAGATATAAGCAATAAAACTTTTATTGTTAGAGGATTAACTACAATCACTGGGTCTTGCTCAGGAGTTGTAAAGATGAGATCTCTCAAAGGAACAGTTACAAATAATGGGTATCTTCTTGTTCAGGCAACAGAGTCTCTTGTAGTTGTTAACTATGGGACATTGGAAGTGGGAAATTTTGAGTCTGGTGACTATAGTATTTTTACTATGGATGTTGAGAGTTATGGAAATATTATTTATTCAAAACCAATTCACGAATCTAATTATTTTAATTGTTTTGGAGGTAGTATCTCATTTGAGATAACATTACTTCCAATAGTAGTTAATCTCAAAGATACAAAAATTTTAACTAATATGGAAATCACAGTGAAATCAACTATTAATAATTGCACTGGGAATGAATTATCTATAAAAGGAGAAAGCGTAACTATAACAAACAGTAGGTTTACAAATGTAGAAGTTATTGACACTCAAATAAATTCTTGGAATTTAGAGTGTATTTCATTATCTCTTTCACAAACTACTGGACCTCAAAAAAATGAAATAAAAGACTCAATCATTACTTCTCAGAGTGTATCGATTAATGGTAATTGGAATATAGTAAACTCTCAAATTGGAAGTGTCACGACAATATCAAATGCACAAATCTTAATGGATGATCATTCTCTCTTCTTTGGTGTTCTAACAATGGAATTAACAACAATCAATCAAATATTCTACAATGGCACTGATTTGACTGCATCTTCATGTACTATTGATTATGTAAAATGTACATCAACATTTAATTACATCTCTACTACAATCAACAATTTAGAATGTTATGAAGGATGTATTTTAGATTATATATCAATAACTTCTCTTCATATTTATCATAAAGAATGCTCAATTAAAACACTTAGAGCACAAAACATCATTGAACATACTGATGAATGGGTTTTACCATCAGACTTAACAGTTTCAAAATCAATTGATTGTCCTGGTTATTTGGTTTGCTCTTCTACTTGCTCATTTCTTTCTACCGCTTCATCTGTAAGTGATTTGAATTTTAAAGAAGGGCAAGTATCATTATCTTTCTCTGGATGTTCTGTTGTAAATGTTTTTTCTAACTCAAAGACAACAATTAAAAGTGTTTTGCAATCTACCACAGACTTATATTTAACCACTAAAAATAATATATTAACATGTGAATCACTTATTAAGAGTCTTGTAGCAATTAACTCTTCTGTAACTTCATATGGAAATATAGAAACTTTAAAAGGTATTAATTCAACATTTTCAATACAAAATATCAATAACAATATTATATTGGAAGAGATAGTTGGTTGTCAATTCACAACAAAAATTATTGTAATATCAGGAACACCAGTTATTAAAAATTCTTCATTTGTATTTCTCAGTATCTCTTCTTCTGACCTTATAATTGAAGACTCTATTATTACTTCGACACTAGAGTTAATTTCAACAACAGTAACTGGAAGCTGTACAACAAGTTCATTCATATTTGATGATATTTTAATGAACAAATTTACAATGACATTGTCTTCGTGTCTATCAAAATACACTGCCACCAGATTAAACTCTGTTGATTCTTCATTTATCATTCCATGCATCACTAGATTATCAACTATAGATAATGAATTAAATGTTGACTTAATACTCAATGGGGATTCGTATATTGGATATGGAACAACTCTAATATCAAAAACAGTTACAAATTATGGACTATTGAAGAATTACGGAACACTAAACGTTTCAGAATTTATTTCTTGTTCCGATAATTCTCAAATAGTAGGAAATGGAGAGATTATCTGTGATCAAGCAGCAGTTAATATCCTCTCTGAAAATACTATAAAAACAACTATTTTAAATATCACAGAAGATGATATAATATTAACTAAAGTAACTTTTAATGAAAATGGACAATTGAATCAAAACAAACACAACATAACAGTTAAAGAATTAATAATAGAAAATGGACTTACGATAAAAAAAACTTCAGGATTTATAGAAAATCATTTACTGGTTGGGAGAGGCGAAATTTTTGGTGACTTAGTCACTTTTAACTCTATTAAAGAAATACTAACATCTGTTCATTCAATAAATATTCATAATGTTCATTCTTCTGTTGAAATGACTGATTGTTTTATTGATACTCTTAATATAAATAAAGTAAATGCACAAATTACAACGAGTACGTTCAATTCTTTATATTCAATGTCATCAAACATTTCAATTAATGGTAAAATACTTATTGGAACATTACAATTGTATGAAACAGAAATAGAGGAATTTGGAGAAACAAATATAGTTGAAATTAGTTATTTTTTAAATGGATTTAGTAATATTAATGTACCTATTTCTATAACATCTAGAATTGAAGGTACTTTTACATTCAAGAAACATGTTAAATTAAAAAATATTCACTCACCAAAAAATTATGAAATTACTTCCGAGTCATTACTAGAATGTGAAGGCTCTATTGATTCTTTTTCATTTAAAATAATTAATAAAGGAACAATGGTAATTTCAGAGAATTGTCAAGTCTCTGTTATTCTTGATAATAAAAAAGAGCTTATTGTTCAAAATACTAAAATAATCAGAACAACTATCATAAATGATGGAATTGCTACATTTGTAAATGTTACAGCCCCATTAACATCTATCACAAGTTCTTCTTCAATGTCATTTTCTAACATTAGTGAAATAAATAATATTCATCTATTAACTGATTCTATTACAAATATGAAAGGAGATGTAAGTACCTCATCATTTTTATGTGAGGGGAAATACTCTGTTGACGCTAATTCAACTTTAGATTTCACCACATCAAATCTGAAGAAATGTATTATTGAATTTCCTAAACCAGTACATCATCTTCATTTGACTACACCAACAAAAACAACTCCATATTTTGTAAGTGTTACACCAAATAAATTACCGATTGTTGGAGATTCATTCTATCTCATTTCATGTGATAGTCAACCATTCCCTGATAAACCTTCTTCAGAGGTTAGTGGTGTTGATAGACTAGCATTATTGCGTGAAATGGATAGTAATTCGTATAATATTTCAATAATAAAATGTCCATCAGGGTCTTCATATATTCTTAGTTGCATTGAATGTAAAGATGGGGAATATCAAATTGAAGATGAATGTTATAAATGTCCTCCAGGAACATACTCTGATAAATATAATTGTATCCCATGTCCAGAAGGGACATATAGTATTTTATCATCTTCAATATGTCCAGTTTGTGGAAATGGTATGTGGTCATACATTAGTTCTTCTGTGTGTTATTCATGCAAATCTGGGTATTATAAAAACAGTACAATGGGATGTGTTCCATGTACTCAAAACACTTGGAGTAATGAAGGAGCAGATGAGTGTATAGAATGTGATAAAGGGATGATTACAATAGACCATATTACATGTGTTAAGAATGAAACAAATTCAAGTGATTGTAAGGATGGATTTTATTTTGATAATAATGAATGTGTTGAATGTGAAAATGGGTATGTTGAATTTAATAAATGCATACAATGTAATGATGGTGAAGAGTTGAACGAAGAGAAGACAGCTTGTATTGTTTATTCAAAAAATCAATGGATACTTTATCTACTATCATTTTTAATATTTGCTATTGTATTGATCATATTTTGTCTGATGCTTACATTCCATATTTCAAATTATTATAAAGAAAAAAGAAGAGAGTTGGAACAAAAGAAATTCATAGAAGAAATGTTTACAGTCAAAAAATCTCCTTCAGAAGAAGAAGATATTTCAGTTAAATACATGACACCAGACGAATGGCTATACCCTGATTCGAGTATTACTGTTAATGGAAACTTTGATGCATTGAATAAAATAAAGGAAGACAATTTCTTGGAAAGATATCACTTATATAGAAATGGACAAATGAATGAAAAACAAAAACAAGAATTTTCAGAAGAAATTAAAATAAAAGAACAAAAAATGAAAGATTATTGCAATAAGTCTAATAGTGGAAATAATAAAGAAGAAGATAGTGAAAAGAACATAAAAACTATATGCAATTTAGAAATTGAATTAGAAAATGAAAGTCAAGAAAGTAAAGTTCAAGAAGAAAAAGTAGAAACAATAAAAATTCATGAAGAAATACAAATAGATCTTGAACAAAAAGAGGAAACATCTGCAGAGGACAAAATAGAAAAAGTAACTGAACTACAGCCAGAGTCACTACCTGTTGACCAACAAATAAAAACAAGAAATGATATTTCTTCTAAAGCTGAAATTGCAATTGCATTAAATGAAATTAATAAATTAAAAGAAAAGTATGAAAAAGATCTAATGAATGTGAAATCCATGGTGAGGTCATTAACATATGAAAATAATGAAACAAAAGAAAAACTTAAAGTTCTTGAAAATGACAAAGAGAATAAAAACCAACAAGAACTTAAAGAACGAAAAAAAGCTATTCTAAACCGTGCAGGAATTGATGGTGGAAGTAGAGTCCAAGACATTTTAATTTCAGGAGTTAATCCAAGGTTTATTCCATTACCTGATCCAAATGGTAAAAGTACTAATTATTTAAAATAAATATTTTATTCTTTTTTATAACATCAATTATTTAGTTGATTATATACAAGGTCAATTTTGTTCCTTTTATCTTTTATTATTTAGATATAATGAAATTATTATTTTCAATTTTTTGTTCATTATAATAGTTATTAAATCCTTACATTGAGTTATACCTAGCTTTTTTTTCTATTAACTCTATTAACTCATAAACAAACTGTTATATTCTTAGGTTTATTGATTCTTGTTAAAGTGCTAGACAAAATAACATACAAATTAATTGTTGAGAATGAATTACATTATTGACTTATTTAGTTCAAATATCTATTGGTAATGCCTATTAAGAATTTAACTCATTTTATATTATTAAAGTATGCAGAGTATTACAGAACCTCCTTACTTTGTTAGTGTTTTTCTTTTTATTAGATTCTTAAGATAAACCAAAACACTCAAATACTTTCATGTTATAATGCTCCTTTTTGTTTTTTTAATAAATGTTCTTTAAAAAAATTAAAGAACCACCTAGATGAAACTATTTTGTTGTTAATAGAAAAAAAGTATAATTCTTAACTATAAAATGAAAGTCATTTTCAATTTAACTCATAAATTTGAATGTTTGACAAACTTCTTCTATTTTTATTGTTAATAGAACTTTCTAAGATATATGAATAAAACCCACAATAGTATATTCTATTTTTTATTCAAAATATTGATTCTAAATATATACATTCTTATTAAAATGAAAAAATATCTTGTTCAATTCACAAATGTTGTCGTCACAAGAATAAATGACAGCAATAATAATTCTTACCACCACATTATTCTATTTTTTTTTCTGTGTTTTATGATACTCTTTGTTAAAAGTTTTAAATCTATTTTAAAAGTTGTTAGTATGAAAGGAGTATTTTCTAAAGGAAAAAAACAGTAAAAAAATTGTTTATTGACAATAAAAAAAATTAAAAAAAAAATAAAAACTAACAGAGATGAATAAGAAACAGTTTCAATGACCCAACACATTTCCAGTGATTCTGTTGTAATTACAATTTCTCTCAACCAATTAATGAATGAAGAAGAATGTGATACTTTATTAGATCAATTGAATAATGCTATTGAACTGGTTCAGTCTAAGAAAAAAGAATTAAAAAAAGGTTTTAATGAAACAAAAAATCAAGAAACAAAAGAACAAGAGAATATTAAAGAAGTTGTTATAGTAAGAGAATTAGAAGTTCACAAAAAAGAGTATCAATATGAAGAATTCTTACCTAAAAATGATCTTGGTCTTTTTAAAAAATATCAATCAACATTATTTGTATGGACTAAAACAACAAAATTTTCTATTTTATTTGATACAAACAAAGTTGGATGGAATAGGTCATTATTCAACTCGTGCATACTTAATAAACCAAATCTTCTATTCCTTTGTTTTTCAAAACCGATGATTGTTGGACTATGGTCTTCAACAGAAATAAAAGCTTTTAATTCTTATTCATCTGACCCTTCTTTCTTTTTAATGAAAATCACTGAAGATGAAATTCAACATTGGTATAGATCAAAACAATCAACTTGTCCAGAAGATGCAGTCTTGGTTTATTCAAAACACTCAACCCGATGGTTTGGCTGTTATGACTGTTGGATTCAAGCAAACCCAAATGGTATAAGTACTATCTACCCAGAGATACTCTCAGACTTCTCTGGAATAAGTTTTCCAAAACAATCAAGTTTCATCTCATCTTTCAAAGTCGAGAGAATAGTAATTTTGAAATGTATTTAGACTTTATTTTTTATCTCTTATTTCTTTGTACATAAAAATGCAACTGAGACAAAAAAAAGAATACACATTAATTATATATCTTGTACCAAAGGTAGTAACATTAATTCATATATTATCTATTCGATTAATGTGTAGTTAATATTACTACTAAAAAGCTTTAATAAAAAGAAACTGAATATTTGTTATTTACTTATTGATGTAGTTTTTGTATGTCATAACATTAAATGATAGAATATTAAGAATAAAGTATAGTTATTTCTTAAATTTTTAAAGTTATTTTCATTAAAGTAATATAACACTATGTCTTATCTTTAAACCATAATATCTAACAAAATACTCTTGTTAATCTTAATTTATATTTCTTGTCAAAAGAAAACTTATATAAAAAGTTATTTATTCCTTCATTGAATATATTTTATCATTTATTACTTTGTTTAAAAAGATTGATTTAAAAATAATTCCGATAGTCCAATTACTGACTAAAAAGACATATTGAATAAGCTCTTACATCACTTGGATTTGTTATGTACCAGAAATTATCAGGACCACCAACATTTGATGCCCGAATAATAGAAGAACGTCTAACTCTATTCTGGAAGATAACTTTATACCTTCTTCCTGTTTGAGGATCAGTAACAACATCTGAATGTTCTAGTGCAATTCTAAAATCAGGAGTACAAAATACTGCCATTCCACCAACACCTGAAACACCTAATTTATCTCCCCATTGAACAATCTCAGTAAATTTATAACAATTAGAACCATGGAATGAAACTGGCCATTCTCCATCACTATTTGAACAGCCAAGCCAAGTGTTATTCCCATTATCGAACATTCCAAGAACATGAAGGGCACATCTCATACAACCAACTGGTCGGATATATGGTAATTTTCCTCTATAAATAGATTTTCCAGCATCATTTATTCCTCTAAAATCATAATCAAACCTAGGATCAATTAACGTATGTAAAATGAACTTTTTAGGTATAGAACTTCTTAAACGAAGAATAATATGAACTAAACTTCCTTCAGTAATTCCATAACTATCAATAGTTCTTTTTCTATCAAGAATTTGATTGTTAAAACTGAGACATTGTCTTTCAATTGGAATTCCTTTTGAAATATCTCCATTCCCAGTGACTAATTGAATCTTCATTTTAAAAACGTCTACTAATTCATTAGCATTACAATGAATGTCAGCTATATCCCCTGTCAAGAGTTGAACTTTAACAGTTACTGGTCCAACATTTTGGACTCCTCTTAATGAACCTTGTTGGATTAATAACAATGAATAATCTTCTAATTGATATTCTTCACAATATTGTCCATTTGGTGCTGTTGCATAAATATTTCTACCAGTAAGACCTCTGAGTGCTTCTGCTAGTTGGTTAGTAAAAGGCATTTCAATTGAAAAAAAATTAAGATTTAATGAAAAAAAATTAGTTTCTAAATAAATGACTTTTATTTTTTTAAGTAATAAAAAAATTAAATCATAAGAAAAAAAAACATTTAATAGATTATTTTTTCTTTTGGTTTTATGAATATTCATCAGTGATTATTTCATTTTCTTCAATACATTCTCCTTCTATTTTATATTTATTTATATATTGAGTGAATTATTTGTTTCTTCTTCTATTATATTATCAATATTAAAAGAAGAAAATATTAAGTTTTTCATATTTGTGATTATTATTGTTTGTATGATATTGGGAAAGTCTAATTATAAGTTTAGTGTCTTTACTCTTATTAATGTTTCTTTATGTATTAATTTATTGTTAATATTGCATTGTTTGTTTCTAATGATATTATTTTTATGTTATGTTGTATCTACTCTTGTATTTCTATTTATTTTATGAATATAATTTATTTCTATGTTATTCTCTTGAAATATATCAATATTATTAATACTTTATTTCTTTCATATTTTTATAATATTTGTTTTCTTGCATGAAATGATTGATTATTAATAATTAAATCATTAATTGAAGTTATGAATTATTTCAATAATATTAATACAATTATGAGTAATATTAAAATCCATTAAATCAAATTCTTAAAAATTTTGTTATTAATACTTATTTATATATTTTTTAATATTTATGTTTTGATAATGTTTGTATCTTCTTTGTGTTTTATTTTGATATTTACTTCTATTATTATAATACTGTTTATTTCTATCAAACTATTGTTAAATATTTATGACAATGAAAATGATTGAAATAAATCATATCATCAATGCAGATATTACTATGATGATAATTATTAATATGATGACTCATATATTCCTTTCAAATAAAATAATAAATATTTTCACATATTCTTCTATTATTTATCTTTATTGATATGAATTTCTCTTTCTCTGGTTATTTGTTTTTTATATTATTTGTTATATTTCTTTTTATTCTTTATTTTCTTAAATAAATGAACAGATAAAGAAGAATTGAATGAAATGGAAACTAAAAGCAAATAATAGAAAAAAGAATATAAAGATATAAAAGAATAAAATGAAAGTAAGAAGTAGAATAAAAATAAAAATAAAGTAGAATAAAGAAAGAATAAGAAGATAAAAAGTATGAATATAAAAAGTACTAAATCACAAAGAGATAATAAAAGAAGAAAAGAATGAAGAAATAAATTGTGTATTCTATTCAAAAAAATAGAAATATGAAATAAAAATGTCTAATCTAATGGTGTAAAATAACTGGTATTGTTTTATTGATGAAAATATTTTA